CTATGCTTCACTGGCCTATAAGTCATAGGTCGTGTGCAAGTGGCATGTTATGCAGTATTTGCAACCAGCACTAGCTAGCATTGGTGTGGCTGTTGTGCGTCGTCAAAAGGGATGCAGTGCTGCTTTTGGTGGGTGGTAGTAGGGGGAGAGACTTATTTAGGCTTTGAATGAATAATCAGAATAATAGGTGATATTGGGAAGAGAATAAACTTTTGTAAAACATGACAGTTCCTTGTCTAGATAGGTAATCTTCTTCCTCATCAATATTAAGTCTGAGTGGTTGCCTTTAGAGTTGCTTTCGAAATTAATTTATCTGTCTTCAGTATCACCCCTTTTGAACTTTGGATTTAAATAACTAACCCCTTAATTTTGAGACATCTGGGTTAGGAAGATGAGAAGCAAATGACAACCTACCCTTCCTTTTGATGTAAAAACAAATAAAACTTAAAATGATCTTGAAAATGATACCAGAAAGAATTTTTTTCTTAACCAAAGTTCAGATGATTCCTTGAACCATTTATTCAAAGTAATGGAATGACACATCTCCATTAGTGAAATGTATCGTTTAGTCATTTGACATTGTTAGAAACATCTTTTTAAGGATATCACAAGCTATTCACCAAAATATTTCATACGTTAAAATTACAGAATATACACGTTTACACTATGATTCTGTTGTGAACTGAATTGATTCAAAGATACGTGTCAACTTGGCTGGGCTACAATCCTCCATATTAAGTGATTATCCTCCATCTAGTGATTTGATATAACTATCCTCTTAGTTGTAAATCCTAACCTCTGTGATGTCAATAAGGCAGCATTGTGTCTAGGTATTGTGAGTCAATCTCTTTTGAGATATAAAGGGAATAAACAACCCAAGATTGAGAGGGACCTACCACTACCAAGAAAGAAGAGCCAGTTAGGAACCTAGCACCAGCCATATTTTCTCCTTGGGTTCCACATAAGTATTGTTAAGCATTTTTCCCTGATGGGAGACTGCTCCTCCTTTTTCTCCTACCAACAGAGAATGAGGCATTAACTAAGTCCACATGGAAGAAGCACACCAGCTTGTGTGATCCAGGGATTGTAAATAATATCATCTAAGTAATATAATCAAAGAAGGGAGTGGTATCAGAGCTTTAATTGTGAACACCTGGTTTGCAGAAGGCTATGGATGACAGTAGAAGCCCAAACTCCATCTGCAGGGTCCACATATGGACTGAGCCTCTGGCGAATCCCCTCTGGTAATAGTTATGGGATGTGAATATCCCTGCTATCAGACAGCAAGCACTGCAAAGTCAATCATGGCAGACCGGTCACAATGTCTCCCTTTTGACCCACTTTAAAGCTGTTCCAGTTTTTTAAAAAGTGAAGGGGAAATACACGTGGATTAAGCCCCTGGTGAATCCCCGCATACCAAGGAGCAGGATGTGAACAGCCTTGATATTGTGCAGCATGCTTTGCACAGTGGATTGCTGCAGATGCAGTTAGGTTAAAATTGAGCTCCCTGTCATTTGATCTCCTTTGCGATCCATTTAAATTTGTTCTAGCTTTTAATATTTTCTGCTTTCTTTTCTATTGAGGTTTTTATGTTTCATTTTGTTATTGCTGTTAGCTTTTTTTCAAAAAATGTTTTCCTGTATATGAAATCCAGGATAAGTAAACCTATAGAGACAGAAACTAGATTAATGATCCCTTGGGTGTAGGGCAGAGGAGGTTGTGAAGAGATGGGGAGCTGGTAACAATGAGCACACGAATAAAGAAAATGTTCTAAAACGGATTGTGATGATTGTACCACTCTTCTGGATGTGATTGAACTGTTCAGTTGTGTGATATGTAAACTGTATGCCAATAAAACTGTTAAAAAAAAAAAAGAGAAAGAAAGCAGAGCCATGAGTGGAGCATGTCCTTTAGATCCTGCATCTCTGCTGGGAACCTTCTAGAATCGGAGAGATGTTTCCCAAGACACAGGGAGACCCCCAAGGAACAGCAGGCCCATAGAAAAGAGCCTCGGGCTTCCTCCTACCCTGTGAGTCAACACAAAGAGAAAGCCCTCCTCTAGAACTCATGCCCTGGCTGCTGTCTTCCTGAGCTGTAAGAGAAAACACTTCTGCTTGTTGAAGCCCTCCGTCCGCGCCGTGGTGTTTCTGTTAAAGCAGCACTAGCTGTCTAGATGGATCCCAACTGTTCAGCAAGATACAAACACAGGTAACATATAGAATTAGATAATGGGAGTTACCTATATAACTGCTTAGGTATTACTGCCAGCAAGTCTATGCCGAATCATAGCAACCCTATCGGACAGGGTAGCACTGCCCCCTGTGAGTTTCTACGGGAGTAGAAAGCCCATCTTTCTCCCAAGAGCAGTTAGTGGTTTCAAACTGCTGACCTTTCAACCACTATGCCACCAGAAGTCCTTTGAATATATTAAAGAATTATTGTTAACTGATATATGTTACAGTGGTAAAGATTTTTTAAAAATCTGTGAGTGATACATCCTGATGTGTTTGGAGGTGAAATGGTTTGATGGCAGGTATTTATTTCAATATTACTGCCAAACTCACTACTGTCCAGTCCATGCCAATCCTAGTGACCTTGTAGGACAGATTAGAACCACCTCATTGGGTTTTTGAGGCTGTAAATCTTTACAGAAGTAGAAAGCCTTCTCTCTTTTTTTGGTTCAAGGACTGTTGGTCTTTAGGAGTGTTTTCCGGTCAAGTCTGATGGGGTGCCACTCCCTGGCCCCAAAGTCTATTTTTGGTATTCCCCGGGGACTTCGTTGTTCTGTTCCCTTTACTGTTCTGTTGCACGCCCTAGTGTCTTGCCTCAGTGTGGTAGGGTCAGATTGGGCAAAATTCCCACACTGTGTCTCCAGTGTTGTCCCCTTACGGGCTATGGGTCAGTGAGGGATGTCGTGTCTCATAG